CATAGTTCCCAGTGCTTATATCAGACAGTTCATAAATGTCTGTGACTTTATCACATAGACACAGATGCAAACACATCAATCCAAAAATGAATCTTAAAACATTCTTCATGGCAATGAGCCTTTGCCTTTGCTTTCCTCTATCACTCCAACCAGGAGCATAGATCTTCCCTGTGCATGTTGGTGTCTAGAAGGCTGGTAACGTGTGCAGTAAAATAATATTCCAGTGATGAGCATAAGCAAAGTAAAGATCTATTGACATCTGCAGAAGAGGAAGCAGATGAGCTCCTGGAAAGAGGATTGTATAGTAGGAGAGAAGAAGAGCTCTCTTACAGGATTTAAGAAGAAAGTTGTTAGAAACCACTGGGTAGGACTCATATTTGGATGGTTGGGCAGACATTTTATTTTGCTGAAGGATAAGTCTGATAGCATATGTGAGTTGTTTCTTCCTGGAGTGGGACTACCTATGCAGTACTACTTGGTCTACTAGGGACAAACTCCCTATAATCTGAGCCTGCTCATTGAGATGTAGAGTGCTCTGTAGTAGTGTCACTGCTCCCTAAGACAGATTGCATCCAGGGCTTGTTAAGGTGAATTTGGTTCCTGCTTGGAGGCAAGAACAGCCTTGCTCTATGCTTAACTATCATTTATCTCAGAACAGCATCCACTCTCTTGATGCCTTGAGATTGGAGTACCAGATCCTTTTTAAGATCTTGGTCCTTTTTAAGATCTTGACCTAAATGTTGAGGCTACACTAAAGTTTCAGTTAATCCAGAGTGCTTGTGCCAGCCCCATGTTCTTTCTCTTAGTGTCATTCTCAAGAGTGCCTAGCATGTTGTTCACAACATGGGTGCAGCAGATCAGCATTTGTCTTTAGTGTTACTCCCCAGAAGAGGCTGATGGCATTCACCTGAGGCATCAATGAAAAACCTTGCACAAGGCCATGCTAGGGTGACTGTCAGGGCAGCAAGTGTGGACTAATATGAGGTATGAAAGGTGATAGACAGGTGATCCATACTATTTCAAAGCATTCTTTCTGAAGGGTATCTTCAGTTATGCTATCTCATGATGAGTCAAGACTCAGTAACAGGTTGGAAAATGGAGTTCAGATGCAAAAGTACTATCTTTAACAGAATAGGAATGTGGAACTAGAAAAGTGAGCTGGTGTGGTATATGATGAATGTTAGCATACCTGAGAGTCCAACAATTACATATGTGTTATATACAAGTCAGCAGGGGATCCTGCAGTTTCAGCTGTAAAAAATAAATACAATGTTATTTATCTTTAACTCATGGATATGCCAAATAGTCTATCTTCCTGTTTTAGGATTATGGTTAGATCATCACCATTCAACCCAAAAGGAGCCAAGAGAATACATCTAATAAACTCTTTACAGTTGAGGGGCTGGAATGGCCTAACTACTAACAAGGGCATATCACATCTCATTATGTTGTGTTCAGTGTCCTCTTTGCTAAAATATGTTGTGCCCAATCTCAGGGATGGTTTGAAAAGAGCTATTTAGGCAGTGGTGGCGCACACCTTTAATCCCAGCACTTGGGAGGCACAGCCAGGCAGATCTCTGTGAGTTCAAGGCCAGCTTGGGCTACAGAGTGAGTCCCAGGAAAGGCACAAAGCTACACAGAGAAACCCTGTCTCGAAAAACAAAACAAAACAAAAAGGAAGAAAAGAAAGAAAGAAAAGAAAAGAGCTATTTACTTTCATCAAAAGCCTAGAAAAATAAAGCTTATGAAGGAAGGTTTGAGAAACAGCACTTGGTGGTCTAATGCCCTGGTGCTTACTTAGCAACACACATCCAGTATCATAGCTTGTCTCCTAGTATGTGTCTAGTATGTTTCCACTTAATTTTGCAACACCTCAAGTGTATTGCCTTATCTGTACTTACTCTGGAGAATCTTTGTGAAAATGGCTAGAGATGGAGTATATACAGTTCACAGTCATGACATACAGTGGGTATTCAGTGATAGATGGCCAATGTTATTACTTTGGATCTAGACAATGGACCACAGTATGTCAGAGTTCCAAGCATTTAGATATCAGATTTTTGACTAGTGTTCAGCATGTATTATTGCAACAATTATATTCTAGTTTAGTTTTTGTCACTGTGATTAAATACTCTGGCCAATTCTCTGGGGAAGGAAAGAATTTGGCTTATGCTTCCAAGTTACAGTCCGTCACTGACAGAAGTCAGGGCACGAACTTGGAAGCATTAACTGAAACAGAGACAATAGAGAAATTTTTTGTAGTAGTGCTATCTCGTCAGGACCACCAGTCTGCAAATAACAACATGGAGACTTCTTATTAATTATGAAAGCTTGGCCTTTAGCTTAGGCTTTTTCTCAACTAGCTCTTATAACTTAATTAACCCATATTTTTCAATCTACATTCTGCCACGTTCCCAGTTACCTCTCCTCTGTATCATATATCTGACTTTTAGTCTGCATCTCAATGGCATCTCCACCTTTCTTCTTCCCAGAGTTCTTTCTCTGCCTGAAACTCCTGTATTCTCTCTTGTCTAGCTATTGGCCCTTCAGCTTTTCATTATACCAATCACAGCAATATATCTTCATACAGTGCACAAATATCCCACAACAATGATTCTTGGTTTTTTAAAATATTAATGGTAGTTTTATTTTTTTGTAATATTTTAATTGATTCTTTGGGGATTTCACATCATATACCTATCACATTCACTTCCCCCTGCCCTGTGACCTCCTACTCTGAGCAAAAAAAAAAGTCCAATTTGTGTATACTCACTGAGGCGTGGTTGAACTCTCAGTGGTCTGCCCCTTAAATAGGACTGAGCCCTTGCCCTCCCACACCCTTAAGGAAGCCATCTACTGTGGAGAGTGACACTGTTATTGGGTTGATGTTTTCTTTCATTCTTTTGAGGGGCCTGCCACCCAGCTCCCAAATAAATCACTCACGGAGGTTTAGTCTTACTTATAAGTGTCTGGCCTTAGCTTGACTTGTTTTTTTGCCAGCTTTCTTTAACTTAAATTATCCCATCTACTTTTTGCCTCTGGACTTTTCCCAGTCTCTTACTTATGTAAATCTTACTCTTTCTCTGTGGCTTGCTGTGTAGCTTGGTGGCTGGCCCCTGGAGTCCTCCTCCTTCTCTGGCTGCTGCTTTCTCTTCGTTTTTCCTCCCAGCTTTCTCCTATATATTTTCTTTGCATGCTAGTCCTACCTATTTCTCTCTCCTGCCTCACTATTGGCCATTCAGCTCTTTATTAGACCATCAAGTGTTTTAGACAGGCAAAGTATCACAACCTCACAGAGTTAAACAAATGCAACATAAACAAAAGTAACAGACCTTAAAATAATTTTCTACAACATGACACTTCAGCATCCTATCACAGTTTTGAAGAGTTCTCTTCAATAGCTTCCTGTCTAGGCTGTTTAGGCTGTTACTATTTTGGAGGGGTAGAGGTGTTGGGGTGGAGATAGGAATTGTCATAAAAGATACTTACTGGCTCACAGTAGTATCTACATTTGATCGTATAGCTGATTATATAGAGGGGGCCAGACATAGGGTTAGCCTCTAACACTTTATTTTTTTTAAAGATTTATTTATTTATTATGTATACAGCATGTATGACTGCAGGCCAGAAAAGTGTATCAGATCTCATTACAGATGGTTGTGAGCCACCATGTGGTTGCTGGAAATTGAACTCAGGACCTCTGGAAGAGCAGCCAGTGCTCTTAACCTCTGAGCCATCTCTCCAGCCCAGCTTCTAACACTTTAATTAACCCATAGATCACAAAGGACCAGGCAGAAATGTACATCTGAGGCAGGACTCAGGGGAGCCATAGTGATGGCAGGCCACATTTGAGCAGAGAGGTTTGGGGTTGGGTCCTCTGAGACATGTGAGATGGAAGGATGACTGGAAAGGATAGAAAATCAATGAGATTGTGAAAATTCCATGTCAAGAATAGTTTAGTTTTTAGTAATGTTTAATAGGATTTTTTATTACTAGAAAGATAGAAAGGAAAAACAAAAATGCTCACTATTCTTGTACTTAGAGAATGAATGCATATGTGCCCACTGGAAAACAGCCGCCAGGCCACTTGGTTTTTCCTACCCGCTTTCTACCTTCTGCCCTGACAGCAGTGACATCCACCATGAGCCTCCTGAGCAGATGGCAGGCACCAGCTGTCTGCTGCTGGCAGGGGCTCACTTTGGATCTCTGGGATTTTCCTGTCTTGGTTGTCTGGCTCATCTTGCTGCTATGGCATTATTTCTGGGGTATTGTCTTATACTGCTAGCTTCAGATTGTCCTTTTCTTGTGCTCTAGTGATATGTCTACAGATTGACAGAGGTACCTAGGGAGGTTGGACTGTCCTCAAATGTGGAGTCATAATTAAATATAAAACCATTGAAAGTACTTTTTCATGAAAGGTAATGCATTTTAAAATATATTAACAACAAGACAGAATGAATGATGTTCATTAAGGACTAATTGCTTTCCTTACTTAGGCCTGCATACAGAACCACTAAAATGTCTTTAACTCGGCAGGACTATTCAAAGAAGTTCATTTTACATTTTTTTTTTTCTTTTTCGAGACAGGGTTTCTCTGTGTAGCTTTGCGCCTTTCCTGGAACTCGCTTTGGAGACCAGGCTGGCCTCGAACTCACAGAGATCCGCCTGGCTCTGCCTCCCGAGTGCTGGGATTAAAGGCGTGCGCCACCACCGCCCGGCTCATTTTACATTTAACATGTGTATGATGCTTGCTGAGATTCTTTTTGATTTTTATAGGCATACATCACTATGCCTAGCAAATTTTGTAGCATTCTTCAGCTACCTGTAGTTGTGTCTGAAGCCTATAACATTTCAGATTGCTCACAGAGAGTGGTTTTGCTTTCTGCCCTTCTAGCTACTGATTTTTGCCAACGAGATATCTGTGGCTGTTTCTTCTCAGTGCTTAGGAACTACAGCACTGATTTCTGAATAACAGCTTTTTGTTGTTTCTTTCCTTGTAGAGACCTAAAGCCAGAGAATATCCTCCTTGATGATCGTGGTAAGTAAAGAGAGGCTTTTACGCTTAAGTGTACACCTGTCAGAGGGACACATATACTTGGAAGCTAATGTGGACATAGCCAGTTAATGCAGACTGGAAATAATAACTAAAAGAAATTCTTTGGGATGTGTTCTTAAAAAAAAAAACAAAAAAACCCCAAAAAAACAAAAACAAAAACAAACCAACCCAACAGATGCATTGCTATCACGTGTACTTATGTAAAAGCAGAAATGTCAGATGTTAATGATGGATGTTTTAAGTAGGTGAAAATAAACCCAAAATGAGTATTTGCCCTCTGGGTTTCTGCTATTGGCCCATATTTATTTTTCTTTACTCCTCAGCTCTCTGAACTTGACATGCTGTCTTCAGTGCTATTCTCGTCATATATCACATGTCACAGGTCAGGGATGTGGACTTCTGTTATGGGGACCTGTGGTGGTAGATGGGGACTAGCCCTTGTAGTCAGCTCCTTGTCAGCATCATAGTTCCTTCTGCTCTTGGTGTCTCTGGATCTGAGGAGGAGCCCTATTGCTAGGATGCTGGCTGTGTTTACACTAAGTAGGTTAGCAATATTGAGAAGGAGCTTCTGTCTAATGATTCTTAGTGGCTAAAAGGATCTTCTTGTATAGTAGAGACCATGAGCCAGAACCAGAGCCAGAGTGATTGCTACAGAGAATAGGCCCGTGTGGCTGAGTCCTGAAGGCAAATATGGGGCATTAATCAATACATAGCTTTATGTCTACTTCTGCCACTGCTTTCTGCTTGTTACCTAACTTATGTACTGACCCCGTGAAGAGGAAAGGTGCTGGAAAAAGTAACTTTCCCAGGTTGTGTCTGCATCATCTGACTCTAAGCTTGTGATTTGTGGTCAGATGTGCTGCACTGCTGTCTAGAGTTGGCACTGAAGTTGCTTTAAAAGAGAGGCAGGGAGAGGACATGTTATATTGTAGGACACAGAGTAGTTTACTAGGTGTGTTAATAGGGTGGGTCTAAATCCAATGGCAAGTATCTTTAGAAGAACATTTTTTTGTAATTTGTTACTTTCATAGGAATTTAACAAACATTTATGCCCTTCTATACATAAAGCATTTGCATAGGCAAGGTCTCTAAGTAAAGGGTCTTAATTTCATTATTTCCACTGGTAGTTATAAGGAAATAATAAATATGGTACCTCTGTTTTTATCTGGTGATAAACTGTTAAAGGGCTTCTTCAAGTATAAATCTAATTTCATACTGTTAGTGAAACTCAATGTGCTATATGAAATTTCATTACATGTGTAAAGGTTAAATGTAACTTTTAGATACTGCTATTTTTTATGCATATTTGGTATGTGTGTGTGTTTTGTAGCACGGGTATGAAATCCAGAGCTTTGAATATGCTGGGCAAATGTTCTACTACTGAGCTATATCCTCAGCCCTCGTCAATGCTTTTTAGATGGACTTTGCCTCCCAGTTAAAATTGTTACTATTATGCTGTTACTTCTTCCCATGATCTGTACATTGTGTTTGAACACACACAGGACACATCCGAATTTCAGATCTTGGTCTAGCTCTGGAAGTCCCAGAAGGGGAGCTGGTTCGAGGAAGAGTTGGTACTGTTGGCTACATGTGTAAGTGAAAGATGCCTTTGGTGGACCTTATCCTTTCCTGTCAGGTGGCCCAGTGCTCCAGAACCTAGAGAAAAAAAAAGCTTTTCATTTACTTTAATAGTATAGACCTCATTAAGCCATAAAAGTAATGTCACATTGAAACATATTAATTAAAAATATTGCATTGCATTTATTTATTATTGTGTATCTGTATGTGTACATGTGAGCATGCCAGAGAGCACATGTGGAAATCAGAGGACAACTCAAGTGAGTCAGTTCTTTCATAAAACTCAGGCAAGTCAGGTTTTAAGGCAAGCACTTTTACTCATTGAGCCATCTTGCCAGCCCCTGAGATAGCCTTTAATAAAGCTAATTATCACTGTGATACTTTATATACAAACACAACAGTTCACGTTCTTCAGGACTGAAAACAATGATTATGTATAAATTTAATTTTGAAAGAACAAGTATTTTGGGGAGCAAACATGGTGATAAATGGGATTGAAGGTGTGTATCACCATGCTTGGCTAATAGGCATTTTTTTCTCTGCCCCCTCCCCAATTTTTTTTTTTTTCAAAACAGGGTTGCTCTGTGTAGACCTGGCTCTCCTGAAACTTACTCTGTAGACCAGGCTGACCTTGAATTGGGAGATCCACTTGCCTCTGCCTCCCTAGTGCTGGTACTGGAGGCATGTGCCAGCACCTTCTTAATTCTTTCCCCCCTTTTATTAAACATAGATTCTTTTTTCATACAAAATAATCTGAGTGCCGTTGAATACAGTTTCCTCTCCCTCTGCTTCTCCCAATTCCTCCCCACCTCCTCTCCTATCCTGATCTACTCCCTTTCTGTTTCTTATTAGAAAAGAACAGGCTTCTAGGAGATAACAACAAAATAAAATATAATAAGATAAAATGAAAACCATCATGTTGAAGTTGGACAAGCCCAAGCCAACAGAATAATAAAAGAGCCCCAAGAAAAGGTACAAGAATCAGAGACTTACTTGTTTACACGAGTCCCATAAAAGTACTAAACTGAAAACTATAATAAATATGTAGAGGGCCAGGTGGTGTTGGTGCTGCCTTTAATCCTTGAGTGGCAGAAGCAGACAGATCTCTGAGTTTTAAGGCCAGCTTGGTCTACAGAGTGAGTTCCAGGACAGCCAGGGCTACTCAGAGAAACTCTTTCTTGAAAAACCAACCCCCCCCCAAAAAAAAAGAAAGAAAGAAAGAAAGGAAGAAAGAAAGAAAAAGAAAGAAAGAAAGAAAAAGAAAAATGTAGTGTATATATATGCAGAGAACCTGGTGCAGACTCATGTAGGCCCTGTGATTGCTGCTTCAATCTCTATGAGTTCATATGAGATTTGCTCAGTTGTTTTAGAGGTCCTTGTTCTCCTGGTGTCTTCTATCTCCAGCTTTTTCTGCCTCTTCTTCCTAGTGGTTTCCTGAGCTCTGAGGAGAGGGATTTGATGGAGACATCTCATTTAGAGCTTTGTGTTTCAAAGTCTCTCTGTCTCTGTCTGTCTGTCTCTCCCTCCCTCCCTCCCTCCCTCCCTCCTTCCCTCCCTCCCTCTCTCCCTCCCCCCCCATGTGTGTGTGTGTGTGTGTGTGTGTGTGTGTGTGTGTGTGTGTGTGTGTGTGTGTGTGTGATGTCTGACTGTGGGTCTCTGTATTTGTTCCCATCTGTGGCAGGAGGAAGCCTCTTTAATGATGGCTGGAAAGGCACTGAACTATGAGTATGGCAGAATATTATTAGGAGTTATTTTATTGTTACTTTTTTTTTTTACCAGTTGTATTGGGTTTACCCTAGGTCTCTGGGTTATCTAGATGCTATTTCTTGGTCACCTAAGCAGTGTCAGGTGTGGGTCCTATCTCGTGCAGTGGGCCTTAAGTCAAATCAGACATTGGTTCTTTACTCCCGTAAGGTTTGTGACACTATTGCCTTAGGTTTTTTTTTTTTTTTTTTTTTTTTTAGTTTTTTTTTTTTTTTTTTTAGTTTTTCAAGACAGGGTTTCTCTGTGTAACAGTCCTGGCTGTCCTGGAACTTCATACTCAATTTGTAGACCAGGCTGGCCTCCAACTCACTGAGATCCACCTGCCTCTGACTCTCAAGTGCTGGGATTAAAGGCGTGTGCCACCACTGCCTGGCGCCCTAGCATATTTTGCGGGCAGAACAGATTGTAGATCAAAGGTTTTGTGGTTGGGCTGCTGTTTGCTTTTCTCTTTTGGTAGCCTGCAGAGTACAGTTCCATGTCATAGGCACTAGAACATGGGGATAAAGGTTCTATGTAGGCACCATCTTGATCTTTCTGTTTTCAGTGAGTTGTGTAGGTGTTGTCTTCAGCAATGGGGCCTTGCTGTCAGTTTGTGGAGAGCAACCTATTATCTTGGCCACAGCCTGGGTTGTTTGGGGGTTTCCATGGGACCCTTTCAGCTAACAACTCAACTGGATGAAACTCAGTCCTGGCACTGGAAGCTTTGGTGACAAGAGATGACCATTAGGGATTCTGACTCCCTCATTTACTTGGAGACTTCATTCAGATTGCCTTCACATATTACAGAAAGTTTCCACTACAGTAGGTTTCCATTCCTGCTTCAAATGCTCTTCAGTTCTAGCTGTCTCTCCTCTCATTCCCTCCTTCAATTCCATTTCCCCTCCCCCTTTCTACCTGATTCTCCCATTCTCTCCCAAACCTCTGGTCCAGTCCATGTATAAAATCTGTTCTATTTCCCCCTCCCAGGGAGATCCGTATGTCTCCTCTAGTCCCTTCCTCTATGCCTAACCTCTCTGGGCCTATGGATTTATTTAATGGCTAATATCCAGATATAAGTAAATTTACCATATTTATCTTTTTGGTTCTGGGTTACCTCATGCAGGATGATTTTTGTTTTGTTTTGTTTTGTTTTTTTTGAGACAAGGTTTCTCTGTGTAACAGTCCTGGATGTCCTGAAACTAGCTCTGTAGTCCATGCTGGCCTCAAACTCACAGATATCTGCCTGCCTCTGCCTCCCGAGTGCTGGGATTAAAGGCATGTGCTACCATCGCCTCGTTCCAAGGGTTAATTTTTTTTCTAGTTCCATCCACTTGCCTGCAAATTTCCTGATGTCTTTTTTTTTTTAAAGCTGAGTAGTACTCCATTGTGTAAATGTACCATATTTTCTTCATCTATTCTTCTATTGAGGTACATCTAGGTTGTTTCCAACTTCCAGCTATTATTAATAGAGCAGCAGTGAACATGGTTGAGCAAGTGTCCTTGTGGTAGGATGAAGCCTCCTTTGGGTATATACCCAAGAATGGTATAGCTGGATCTTGAAGTAGATCAATTCCCATCTTTCTGAGGAACCATTATACTGATTTCCATAGTGGCTGTGCAAGGTTTCACTTCTACCAGCAATTGAGTAGTGTTCCCCTTTCTCCACATCCTTGCCAGAGGATCTGTCACTTGTATTATTGGTCTTAGCCATTCTGACAGGTATAAGATAGGATCTCAAAATAGTTTTGGTTTGCATCTCCCTGATGGCTAAGGATGTTGAACGTTTCTACAAGTATTTCTCAGCATTGGAGTTTCCTCTATTGAGGATTCTTTGTTTAGATTTGTACCCATTTTAAAATTAGGTTATTTATTTTTTATATTGTTTTTTGAGTTCTATATATATTTTGAATATTTGCCCTCTATCAGATGTCAAGTTGGTAAAAATCTTTTCTCATTCTGTAGGCTGCCACTTTGACCAAATGTCAGTGTCCTTTGCTGTGCAGAAGCTTTTTATTTTCATGAGGTCCCATTTAATTGATGATCTTAGTGCCTTCACTATCTGTGTTCTTTTCAGAAAGTCATCTACTGTGCCAATGTGTTCAAGGCTATTCCCCAATCTCTCTTCTACCAGGTTCAGTGTACCTGGTTTTATGTTGAGGTCTTTGATCCATTTGGAGTTAAGTTTTGTGCAGGGTGCTAGGTATGAATCTATTTGCATTCTTCTACATGCAGCCATCCAGTTTGACCAGCACCATTTGTTGAAGATGCTGTCTTTTCCCAGTGTGTATTTCTGTCTTTATAAAAAAAAAAAATCAAATGTCCATAGGTATTTCGGTATATGTCTGGGTCTTCCATTCAATTCCATTAATTAGCGTTTCTGTTTTTGTGCCAATACTATGCAGCTTTTATTGCTATAGCCTTGTAGTATAGCTTAAGATCGGGAATGGTGAGACCTCCTGCAGTTCTTTTGTTGTTCAAGATTGTTTTAGTTATCCTGGGTTTTTGTGTTTCCATATGAAATTGAGAATTGTGATTTTAAGGCCTGTGAAGAATTGTGTTGGAATTTTGATGGGGCTTGTACTGAATCTATAGATTGCTTTTAATAGGATGGCCATTTTTCTGTGTTCATCCTACTGACCCATGAGCATGGGAGATCTTTCCATCTTCCTCAAAGACCAGTTACCTCAAGATATTTTATATTATTTGAAGCTATTGTGAAAGGTGTTGTTTCCTTATTTCTTTCTCAATCTGTTTGTCATTTGTATGTAGGAGGACTACTGATTTTTGTGAGTTAATTTTGTATCCAGTTACTTGGCTGAAAGTGTTTATCAGCCATAGGAGTTCTCTGCTGGAATTTTTGGGGTCTCTTATGTATACTATCATATCATCTGCAAGATACTTTGACTTCTTCCTTTCCAATTTGTATCCCCTTAATCTACTTCAGTTGTTTTATTGCTCTAGCTAAGACTTCAGGTATTATATTGAGCAGGGATGGAGAAAGTGGACAACCTTGTTTTGTTCCTGATTTTAGTGAAACTGCTTCGAGTTTCTCTCCATTTAAGTTGATATTGGCTATAGGCTTGCTGTAAACTTCCTTTATTATGTTTAGGTATGTCCCTTGTATTCCTAATATCTCCAAGACTTTTATCATGAAAGAGTGTTGGATTTCATCAAAGGCCTTCTTTTCTACATCTAATAAGATGATCATTTGGCTTTTTTCTTTCAGTTTGTTTATATAGTGGATTGCATTTATTGATTTTCATATATTGAACCATCCCTGCATCTCTGGGATGGAGCCTACTTGATCACTGTGGTGGTTTGCATAGTTATGCACCCTCATAGATTCATGTGTTTGAATGCTTGGCCCATAGGGAGTGGCACTATTAAGAGGCGTGGCTTTGTTGGAGGAGAGTGTCACTATGGGGGTGGGCTTTGAAGCCTTATATGTGCAAACTATGCCCAGTGTGGCACACAGGTCTCCTTCTACTGTCTGCAGATCAAGATGTAGAACTCTCATCTCCTTCTCTAGCACCATGTCTTCCTGCCTGTCGCCATGTCTCACCATTGATGATAATGGACTAACCCTCTGAAACTGTAGGCCAGTCCCAATTAAATATTTTCCTTTATAAGAGTTGCCATGGCCATGTTGTCTCTTCATAGCAATAGAAACCCTAAGACAGTCATGGTGAATGATCTTTTTGATGTGTTCTTGGACTTGGTTTGCAAGTATTTTATTGAGTATATTCACATCTATGTTCATAAGGGCAATTGATCTGTAATTTTCTTTCTTTGTTGGAGCTTTCTGTGGTTTGGGTATCGGGATAACTGTGGTCTCATAGAACAAATTGGGCAATGTTCCTTTTGTTTCTATTTTATGGAATAATTTGAGAAATATTGGTGTTAACTTTTGTTTTGAAAACTGAGTAGAATTCTGCACTAAAATCATCTAGCCTGGGCTTTTGTTGTTGTTGTTTAGGAAACATTTTTTTAAATGTGCATTGATGCTATTGCTTGCATGTATGTCTGTGTGAGGGTGTTGGATCCCCTGGAACTGTAGCTAGATAGTTGTGAGCTGACACATGGATGCTGGGAATTAAACCTGGGTCTTCTGGGAAAGCAGTCAGTGCTCTTAACTACTGAGCCATCTTTTATTTATTTATTCATCCATCCATCTATCTATCTATCTATCTATCTATCTATCTATCTATCTATCTATCTATCTATGTCTTTTTGAGACAGGGTTTCTTGGTGTAGCTTTGCGCCTTTTCCTGGAACTCATTCTGTAGCCCAGGCTGGCTTTGAACTCACAGAGATCCGCCTGCCTCTGCCTCCTGAGTTCTGGAATTAAAAGCGTGTGCCACTACCACCTGGCATCTGACCCATCTTTTCATGACTGCTTTTATTTCACTATGGGGTTATAGGTCTGTTTAAATGACTTATCTTATGTTGATGTAACTTTAGTAAGTGGTATATATTGAGAAAATTATCCATTTCTTTTAGATTTTCCAGTTTTGTGGAGGACAGATTTTTGTTCTTATGATTCTCTGGATTTCCTCAATGTTTCTTGTTTTGTCCCCCTTTACCTTTCTGACTTTGTTAATTTGGATATTGTCTCTCTCATGCCTTTTAGTTAATTTGGATAAGGGTTTATCAGTCTTACTTTTTTTTCCCCAAAGAACCAACTTTTTGTTTCATTGATTTTTTTGTATTGTTTTCTCTGTACCTATTTTATTGATTTCAGTCCTTAGTTATTATTTCTTGCCATCTACTCCTTTTGGGTGTGATTTCTTCTTTTTTGTTTTAGAGCAGTGGTTCTCAACTTTCCTAATGTTGTGACCCTTTAATATAGTTCCTCATGTTGTAGTGACCCTTTGCCATAAAATTATTTTGTTGATACTTCTGTTATGAATTGTAATGTAAGACCCAGAGATTGAGAAATGCTGTTCTAGAGCTTTCACATGTGCTATTAAGTTTTGAGTATGAGATCTGTTCATTTTTTGTTTTTTATTTTTAAACTTGGGGCTACAAACTTTCATCTTTTATTGTATCCTATAAATTTGGATATGATGTGTATTCATTTCATTCAATTCTAGAAATTTTCTTTCTTTCTTGACCAATTTTTCATTCAGTAGAGAGTTGTTCAGTTTCCATGAGTTTGTAAGATTTCTGTTGTTGTTGATATCCAGCTTTATTCTATGGTGGTCTGGTAGGATAAAGGGAATTATTTCAATTTTATTGTGTCTGTTGAGACTTACTTTGGGTCTAAGTATGTGGTCAATTTTGGAGAAAGTTCCATGGGGTGCACAGAAGAAGGTATATTCTTTTGTGTTTGGGTGAAATGTTCAGTAAATATCTGATAGGTCCATTTGGTTTATAACATGTTAACTCTAGCATTTTTCTGTTTAGTTTTTTTCTAGATGACCTGTCTTTTTGTGAGAGTGTGGTATTGAAGCATTCCCACTGTCAGTGTGTTGCAGAGTATTTATTTACACTTTATGAATATGTATCACTGTGGTTGGTATAATAAAGAGCTGAATGGGCAATAGCTAGACAGAAGAGAATAGGCAGGATTTCCAGGGAGAGAGAGAACTCTGGGAAGAAGACTGTCAGGGAGATGCCAAGGAGACATGGAGCAAATTGGATATATGGTACAGAGGAGAGGTAACTGAGCCACCATTAAAAATATTGGTTATGCTGGGCAGTGGTGGTGCACTTGGGAGGCAGAGGCAGGCAGATCTATGCAAGTTCAAGGCCAGCCTGGTCTACAGAGTGAGTTCCAGGACAGCCAAAAGCCACATAGAGAAATCCTGTTCCCCAAAACAAAAAACAAACAAATTAAGGAACTCTGATTTACAAAGTAATTGGGGAAACAGAGGCTAGAAAAATATCCCAACACCTCAGTTGTCTGTGCAGCAGCATTTGAGCCCATGAGTGCTCAGATTGTTAGATGACGACTGATGCTACTTCCCTAAAGAATGGCTGTTTCCTAATATCAACTCCATTACTTTCAAATGTTATCTAAATGTTAAAATTTAACCCAGCATCTTTGTAAATGTTTTGAGGATCTAGAGAAGTGGTTCTCAACCTTCTTAATGCTGTGACCCTTTAATATAGTTCCTCAACCATAAAATTATTTTTGTTGCTACTTTGTAACTGTAATTTTGCTACTCTTACAAATTGTAACATAAATACCTGTGCTTTCCAATGGTTTTAGGCAACCACTGTTGAAAGGGTCAGTCAACTCCCAAAGGGATTGCGACCCACAGGTTAAGAACCACTGATCTAGACTGTATGAGGATTTTTCTAGTCTACAGCCCTCTTTTTATAAATGAGAAGTGGTGCCCATAGACCCCACCACCAAGATTATGTAGTTTCGTGAGGGCAGAGTCAGGTAAGGCCACAGGACTCCTCATGCAGCTAGCATCCCATGTGGGCACACAAATCCTACCCACATGACCCCTGGGAAATTAATCGTGTTCAGATTATTCCAAAGATGTATGGGCAATGCCAGCCTAATCTTGGTAGCTCCTAAGTGCATGGTGGGTCTCTCAGAGCCTGACATTCCTCCCCTTGCAGGTTTCTGGGGTTTCTTCTGACTTGGGAACAGATGACACTGCACTTGAGGCACCCATGGGAACATTCGAGTGGAGGGAGCACCCCCAGGAGGCAAGCTTTCTTTCCAGTACCATTTTACCATATTACCTACCCTGCAGCAGTCAAGTTTATCCAGTATAGATACATAGACACGGTTACAATTATCCTTTACATCAAAGAATCCAACTATTTGAAGTATATGATTCAGTGGATATTAGTCCATTGTAGGCAGAAGTTTCTCTCCGGCCTGCCTGTTCCCAAATACCAGGCATTGCTTCTTAAATAATGACTCTGAGGCTTAATATTACTTATAAATGCTCAGCTGGTAGCTTAGGCTTATTACTAACTAGCTCTTACACTTAAAATAACCCATAATTCTTATCTATGTTTAGCCACATGGCTTGGTACCTTTTCTCAGTATGGCATTCTCATTTTGCTTCCTCTGCATCTGGCTGGTAACTCCTTGACTCCGCCTTCCTTCTTCCCAGCATTCTCAGTTTGGCTTTCCCACCTAACTTCCTGGCCAGCTACTGGCCAGTCAATGTTTTATTAAACCAGTTCAAGTGACAAATCTTTACAGTGTGCAAGAGGATTATTCCATGGCAGTCCATTTACACAGTTGTGCATCCATCATTACCATTACTTTATCTAATTCTAGAACTTTCTTTAATCACTTCAGATTTTAATGACCTGTTAGCAACCACCCCCTATTCCTCACTTTCTATTCCCAGGCCTTTCAACCATGAATTTATGTTCAGTCTCTGGATTTGTATATTCCATGTATTTCATGTAATATAATCATATGATGTTTGGGTTTTTTTTGATCCTGTGTGGTTTTTTAACTTAGCATGTTTTTAAGGTTCTTAGATCATGTTGTAACAAACATTAAATTAATAATGTATTACTTGGAACTAATCATAAGAATATTTAAAACTAAAATTTAATTAAAATTGTTCTTATTTGTTATGTAGCTCCAGAAATTATCAATAATGAAAAGTATACATTTGGTCCTGATTGGTGGGGACTTGGCTGTCTGTTATATGAAATGATTGAAGGACACTCTCCATTCAAAAAATATAAAGAAAAAGTCAGCCGGGAGGAAGTGGAAAGAAGAGTGAGGAATGAAACTGAGGAGTACTCTGAGAAGTTTTCAGAGGATGCCAAGTCTATCTGCAGCATGGTGAGTCAGGTTCCACAGAGATAGGAAAACGATTGACTCGATTCATCTTGTTCTTTTGATGGTTCAGAAGGCAGTAGTGAAGTAGGTAGGCAGTCTTTAGAAGCAGGGCAGCCACCCACTTCCCAGCTTCTAAACCCTCGTTCAACAGTAAGACCCAGGTGCAGGTGAGCTCAGCCAGGCCTCTCAGTAACCAACCTCCTTCCTGATGCTCTTGCCTGGAATTTCATCTCAGGCAGACAAGGAAAGCAGAGATCAAAGTTCTCCACCCAGGCTTGGAAAATGACTGATCAACCAGAGCAAAGCAGAGGAAAATTCATGACTCTTCTTCTGTATTGACATTACTGAAAGGAAGAATGGTACCAAGTTACTCTGTTTTCAGAAAACAGCTGCTGAGTCTGGTTCATTGACTCATTTTATGTGAAATTTAATCTCAATTCATTTGTAATGTATTTTGAAATGGGAAGATTGTCTCTGCCAATTTCTTTTTCTTTAAATCATCACAGACACTCTTACTTGAAGGCCTGCATGAGCCAGACTGACATGTACCTTACAGATTTGATTATTGTATTAGGGCCTTCACCTTTCGTGTGACACAGTGATGCCAGAAATCAAGTCCTAAGCCATAACTATAGAATGAGCTAGAAGCAATTGTGTGCTGTCTGCCCTCAGGGCTGGTCTTTTTTTTTTTTTAAATCAACTGTTGGCTGCCTATACCAACATTTGTCACTTGCTTACCTTAAAACCTATAGGCTTTTTTTTTTCTTTTGAGACCTGTCCTTTATAGCATCTTTAAAATTTTTCTTTCAACAAGGAATCACTGAGCATCTTCCTAGGCACTGTCCTAGGCACTAGGAATACAGCTGTGATTAAACAAAGGGAAGTCCTGGCTCTTCTGGTGTTCTCATTCTGTTGCAGGTTTGGTAGCCACTAATACTAAACAGAACAAATACTACAAATGTGCCAGCTGCCAGAGAAACCAGAACATGGGGGCTGATGAGACACCATAGTTGGGAGGATTTAGGGCCAAAGAGCTGGAAGAAATGTGAATGTAGGTGTGGCATGGATAGAAGAGCAGATGTGAGAAATGCTCAGATTCTGAGTGGACCTTGTAGGAGTTGCTGAAGTGGAGAAAAGGGGTCAAGACTGAATCCCAAACTGACAGAGCAGCAACACTGAATAGGGGGAAACTTGAGCACTTGTGTGGGGAAGTGTAATTGCTAGATCAAAAGCCTTAAGTAGGGGAGAGAGAGGCACTAGTGTACAAGGGAAGATGTGAGTAGTTCCCTCTCATAGTTTGGGGGCAGTGCAAGTGGCAGATTCATTGTGGGACTTCCGAAAAGGGACTTCTGTCTTCTTAAGCCCTCAGCATCGTGGGGGCAAGTATGGGTTCAGGTAAGTTATGAAGCTCCATTTAGAGAACATGAAGCCAAAGAGCTGGGGAGTGAAAGAACCTTCCTCATAGGCATCAAGTGCATGCATAGGGAAGATACTGTCCATAACCCATTGGTGTCTTGTTCCTGCCCTGCTCTGTGCAGGGACATGGGCCCAGAGACAGCAGAGAGCTATCTTTGCCCGGCTCTACAGTTTGGCTAGGCAGGTATGAATCAGGTATGCAGACATGCAGGGAAGCTGGCTGGGTGCAAAAAAGAACTGAGTACTGGATCATACCGTCTTAAGTTGATGAAGAAAAGTGACAGAGGGAAAGGCAAGGAAAAGACATTAGGTGATTATAGCCAAGTGTGAGCTGTGGGTTGTTGGAATTGAGGCACCCCAGCCTAGGGTTGGAACAATTGGGGGGATACACAGACAAGAAACATTTTGAAAAGCAGCTGATGAGGCTGTGCTGGCCCTGAAGAACCTAGCTTGTGACTCAGGGAGAGAGTGGCTTGGCAGGATAGGAGATAAAGGCCTGGGCCTATGTGGATGTGAGAATGGCCAACAATTGTGCCTATTACTGAACTATACTGGTAACTTGTGTGAATTGATACTATCTGGGGAATAATTATTTGGGGCGCCTTTATTTTGTTCTCATATACAAAATGATGAGTGTTACTGATTTGTCACTGAGCCGTGGGATCTTTCTGGCTTTTTTCCCAGCCAGCCTACTCAGCTTGTAGCTGACAGCATTTCACAGTGTTTTGACCAAGATTCTTTTACATTCGGCTGTGTAAATATTGACTGAGTGCTTGCTGTACATGGGACACTGACAGAGCTGTAATGTGAAAGCAGAGATAGAGCCTGCCCCCAAGGAGCTCACAATTTAATCTTAGGCCTACATCCATAAGAATGACTAGCAGGCAGAATTTGGGTACTCTAAACTTAAGTTAAAGAAGGGCCCAAGGATTCCAAGGATAAAATTCTTCTTATGCTAGAGGCACTGGGGAAGAATGTAGACTCTGAGCAAAGGACAGCTTTTTGTTACTGTTGTTTTTTTGAGTCAGGGTTTCTCTGTGTTGCCCTGGCCATTCTGGAACTTGCTCTGTAGACCAGGCTTGCTTTGAACTCAGAGATTCACCTGCCTCTGCCTCCCAAGAGCTAGGATAAAAGGGGTGTGCCACCACTGCCCAACTAAACTAAAAAACAGCTTTTGTAAGTAGGTTAGCTTTGCAATTAGCCTAGTCTTAGCATCCTGTGTCTTACCTCTCTAAACCTCAGTCTGTTTTCTATAAGATGCAGGTGAGACAAGATGCTGTGAGGATAAAATCAAGTAATGAATGTAAGTTGTTGAGATACATAGTCCTTGTCTCAGTTTGTTTCCTATTGCTGTGATAAAAACAACTTAGGGGAGAAAGGGCTTATTTGGCTCATAATTGCAGGTTATAGTCTGTCACTGCAGGGAAGTCAAGGCAGCTGGAACTTGAAGCAACTAGTCACATCACATCTACCTTCAACAGCAAAGACCAGTGAATTTATACAAACATACCAGTTCTCATCTGCCTATCTCCATTCAATCCAGGATCCAGACCATGAAATTGTGCAGTCTACATTAAGAGTGGGTCTTCCTACCTCAATGAATTCAATTAAGAAAATCCCTCACAAGAATGCCCTCAAGTCCTGCACTTGGGACCCTTTTCCTCCTACTGGGTTGCCTCATCCAGCCTTGATATGAGGGTTTGTGCCTAGTCTTATTGTAATTTGTTATGCTGTGTTCGGTTGATACCCCTGGGAGGCCTGTTCTTTCTTCTTATTTTTCTTCTTTCTTCTTTTATTTATTTATTAATTAATTTTTTGATTTTTTGAGACAAGGTTTCTCTGTGTAGCTTTGTGCCTTTCCTGGAACTCACTCTTTAGCCCAGGCTGGCCTCGAACTCACAGAGATCCGCCTGCCTCTGCCTCCCGAGTGCTGGGATTAAAGGCGTGCACCACCACCGCTCGGCTCTCCCCCCCTCTTCCTCCTCCTCCTCTTCTTCCTCCTCCTCTTCTTCTTCCTCTTCCTCTCCTCCTTCTCTTCCTTCTCTTCGTTTTTTGAAGGGAAATGGAAAAGGAGTGGATCTGGGGAGAGGGGAAATGGGAGGGAGACTGGGAAGAGTGGAGAGAGGGCAAACTGGTCAGAATGTAATATAAAATAATTATAAAAATTATGAGTTAAAATAAAAGAAAAGAAAAAGTTTAAAATAAAAAGAAAATAAAATAAAAAGAATGCACACAAGTAAATCTAATCTGGACAATTCTCTTTAAGACTCCCTTTCCAGATGATTCTAGATTGTGTTTATTTAACAGCTAAAATCAACCATCATGCTCAGTAACTATTGTGAAGAGAAACAACTGGCTCTTAAACAATGGGTTAAATTTCCTACAGATGGATGGTAGGAAAGCATCTAAGGACACACGGGTAACTTGCCCAAGAGCAGAGAGGAGGGTATACAAGAATTTGGGCCAATCTTTTTTTATTGATAGTAATTATAGAGGAAAGCTTATTTGAATTTGTGACAGTTGTAGACACGTTAAGAATACTTTTGAAAGAGACTGTTCGGTGTGTAGTTGGCACATGTCTATAACCCCAGCACTCTGGAGGTACAGATATGCATATGAGGACTTCAAAATCAACCTAGGCTACAAGACCCTGTCTTGAAAAAACCCAGTGGCCCAGGAGATGGTTCAGTGAATTAAAACATTTGTCGTATAAGCCTGATGACCTGAGTTTCATTTCCAGAATCTATGCCAAAAGCCAAATGTGGTGGCACACATCTGTAATCCCTGTACTCCTAAGGTTAGAATGGGGGTAGAGATAGGAGATCATCTGTAAGTTTGTGGGGCCAGCTAGCCTGGAATACACAACACAGCAGCAGAAACAATGAGGTACCCTGCCTCAAAAAGGTCGAAGGCAAGAAGAGATTCCTGGTCTGGAAAACTGTCTCCTGACCTCCACACACACACTATGTATGGCATGTACTTACACTCACACAATTATATAAATAAAACCAAAAGGGGGGAAAGCTGAGATGATTTTAGAGATTGGAAAGAGACAGAGACAAAGAGTTTCTAAAAGGAAGCTTACTAAATTTTTGACTCACTTGGGGTCCTTAGTACTCTAATAAATAAAGGCTTCTTTTTATAAATTCAGCAACATTAAAATGATTTCCTTAATAATTGTCCCTTAGTTATTATAACATTTTTACTTGAGGATTAGTTTATTCAAATTGCTGGGTTTTTTTTTTGTTTTGTTTTCATTTTTCTTTTAGACAGAGTCTATATAGCACTAGCTGGCCTAAAACTCATTATGTAGACCAAGTTGGCCTCAAACTCACAGAGATTCGCCTGCCTTTGCCCAAGTGCTGAGATTAAAAGGGTGCACAATGAGGCACGGCACTTCAAGCTTCCATCTCTTGATCACTCAAGGAAGACTTGAGTTTTACCCTTTGTGAAACTATAATGTACTTAGTTAGGTCTGAAGTTGTACAGTCTGGTTGATAACTTGGAAACTGTAGTGGCTATTTAGTTGGATATATGCCCTCTCTGCCACCCTACTTCTTTGGTTGTTAAAGAGGACAGTTTGCAGTTTATATATCTACCCTAATAGCTTCACTTGATTGCTTCTCTCTTGTGTAGTTACTCATCAAGGATCCAAGTCATCGGCTAGGCTGTCATGGTGGAGCTGCTGCTGTAAAGCAGCACCCAGTGTTCAAGGACATTAACTTCAGCAGGCTGGAAGCAAATATGTTAGATCCCCCTTTCTCTCCTGATGTAAGTATGCTACTCAGAATAGCTAGGTCCCCAAGAACACCGATTCCTATAGCAGTCTTTTGTTAAAGCACACTTGATACAGCCAGCATGTGGGTTCTGCTCTATGAGGTCTGTTATTTCTGCTTCTTCTTGTGCCTATATCCCACCACCCCCACAGCCTCAGGCAGACCTTTTAGTAGCTCTCTGGCTCCCAGGCCTGGAGTGTGCAGTCTGTCACTACTGGGATAGCCAAATTCCTGTCCTCCCAATTCTCAGTGCCATTTCAGACCTCCTTGGCATGCCCTTCAAGGCTCTTTGTATGCCAGTGTTTCTGTTCACATCTCAGTGCTGGGTTCACCTCCGTCCCTGTGCTCACTCATTGCACTGATTCTACATAGCTGCTTTAGTCTGGAGTGTACATCCCTCAGGAGCTGTCATTTGTGTGCTTCCTCAGGAGTATGCATTGAGATAAAAAAAGGTCACGCCTGCAGAAGCACAGGGCCTGGCACTTGTCAGTGCTTGGTATATAATAAGTGAACTACTGATGTAAAGATAATTGAATGAAGATACCCTTAGCAGTCTGCTATAGACACATTCTAAAAGTGGAAAGATATGTTAAATTTTATTGTTGTGTGGAATTAAGACAGAACTACAATTGAGATATTTTTATTTGTAAGACGTCTTCAGAACTTGATGTGTTTGCTTAATACCCATAGTATTCATTATAGTGGTAACTGCTTCTTTATGTCTACTTGAGATATTCAGGGCATATGCAATATCTCCAGCACAGCTCTAGGTGTGAAAGCAAAGGGAGAACAAGGTAGACAAGGCAGTGCCTCTGCCTGGAGAGACAGGCAGGAAGACAAACTGACTGGCATGCTGGGAAAGTGTTGCCTGACAGTGCAACATGCATGACCTTGACTTCATATAGCTGTCAGGTCTAGAGATGGGGCTGCTTGGGTCAAAAGTAGGAAAGACAAACCAATGTGGTCTCTGAAGGGAAGGGGAACACCCTGAACAGGGCCTATCCTAGACTGTCTATGTTCTTGGTTTAAACAAATTACCCCATTTGAAGGCAATTCAGCAAACTCTGGGCATTTTGCTTGCAGAATTAAGATTCTTAGTTTGTAGGGCTGTATGGGTCTGGACTTTTGGCCTAGACTGTCCCAAGAGAGGATTTGCTAGTCCTTCTGTCCTATACTTTGTGGGGTAGATGAGAATAGGGACAGTGCTGACCACTGACTTTGCAGACTACCACTGTAATGGCACTCACCATTTGCTCAACCCAGCAAACAGTGCAGTGACTCCTCAGGACTGTTAGTGCATTTTGCAGTAGTAGATGGCGTGTCCTTAGTTGCAGAGTTCTGTGCCTTGTGTTCTCCTTAGTCCCAGAAGGGCAAGTAAAACTCTGCAGGAATGGAGGCCTGGGCCTTGACAGCCCTGGATGCTTGTCAGATCTCTTGCTCCTGAGGACACCAGTGCCAAGGTAGAGCCTGCAGGCCTGGGCCCTAGTCGTACAGGAGAAATTGCTAGCAAGAAGGTTGCTTCTACTTTTCACCCAAATGCTAAGTAGGATGCTCAGGGCCAGAAGAGGGGTAAAAATTGTCACTAGTGGATCCCATAGCCAGTGGTCTCCATGGCTGTTTATAGCTCTCTTTGTGTCCCAACAGAATCAATCCATTCTATCCTTCTATAGTTTCAGCCTTTGCAATCTATTTTCTGCTGCAGAGAAGAAAAGGGGTCTTCATGAGGTGTATATGAACACCTGTGGTAGTAGGGGGGACTGGACAGAGACACCACAGGATCTGTGACACTGAAAGTTCCTTGAGAAAAGTGACACAGAAACTGCTGTGTCACAGAATATACATGATATAAATTAGAAAATTAGTTTGAAAGGGTAGGGAGGATTATGTGTGGACCTGTTCTTTGTAATTAAGGAAGCTCAGAGTTGCTTTAGGACTGGGAATGTAGGTAAGCGGTAGAGTTCTTACCCAGCATGTGCAGGCCCTATGTCCAGTTCCCAGCAGCTGAAAATTAAAAACAAAGTATCTTTTACAAGCTAGATATAGCACATGGGGGTGGTCAAGGCAGCCAGATTGTGAGTTCAGGGACAGCCTAGGCTACATATCCCTGTCTCAAAATCCAGAAGAAAACAAAACTAAACAACAAAAAAAGAAAAGTTATTCTAGTTGTCTCATAGGTTGATCCCTCTCTTTGTTCTTGGTGCCCAGCCTCAGGCCATTTATTGTAAGGATATCTTGGATATTGGGCAGTTCTCTGTAGTGAAAGGAGTCAGCCTGGACAACAATGATGAAATCTTCTATGCCGAATTTGCTACAGGGAGTGTCACCATCCCCTGGCAGAATGAGGTACTAATCTTTCTAGCAGAGTAGGTTTCTAGTCTCAACAATGACCTGTGTGTGTGTGTATCTGCAAAGTAAATTTATGCAAAAGACTTGACCATGAGAACTAGATCATGGGTAAGCCAAGACCATATCGGCAGTTTCCAGAAGCATGATAGCTATTCTGGTCCTAGTTACAAGAGGTGGGCAAAGATGATCTTGGGATTTGCCTGCCACCCTGGAGTCATACTTCCTAAGCAGGGCTAGCTGGCAGCTTGGCTCCATTAAAGTTAGCTTTTTGGGGGGTGGGGGTACACTTGGAGAAAGGGGAACAAGAGGCCACTTTACTTATTCCCAGAGGAGGTGAGAAACCAAGAGTCCAGGAACCATGATGTGCCCCACATTGAGATCAGGTGCTGGGTGGGAGCTGATGATGCTGGGAGATCACTGACCTCATGGTGTCTCCAAAGCTGCTCTATCCTGTCTTCTGTGCATACAGATGATTGAATCTGGATGTTTCAAGGATCTCAATGAAGAGGAAGATGGAGATTTGCCATCTCGTAAAAAAGAGTATTTGTGTCCTGACATTCTCAGGCCAAAGAGAAATTTCTTCCGTAGACTCTTCAGAAGAGGGGTAAAAAAAATCTTTTGTAAAAAGTAAACTATTGTGGCTGGGGTGTTGCTTAGTGTAGAACATTTGCATAGGTTTGGTTCTGAGAAACAGGTATGGGCATGTGTGTTTACACCCCCCTCCATATGTGTGTGTATATATATCAAAAGGAAACTATTTTCTAAGGAAAACATCACTTTCCTTTTGTTTTTGTTTTTTGAGACAGGGTTTCTCTGTGTAGCCCTGGCTGTCCTGGAACTCAGTCTGTAGACCAGGCTGGCTTCCAACTCAGAGATCTGCCTGCCTCTGTCTCCTGAGTACTGGGATTAAAGGTGTGTACCACCATCCACCAGTTACTTTCTTTTCTTTCTGCAACGCCTCATATAAGAAATTTCAGCCTGGTTGTAGCTCATACATAGGAGACTGATGTAGAAGAATCACTGAGTTTGAAGCCAGCTCACTACATAGTGAGTCCTTGTCAGAGAGAAGGAAGAAGGAAGAAAAGGAGGAAGAGACAGGTAGACAGACAGACACACACTCAGATTGATTTCATATAGTTTAAGAGCTATATGGTTGTATTTAAAGCTCACCCAGAATAATTCACAATGCTGCCTGCTGTTGGTGGGAAGACTATTCTGATCCACAAGGCAGTGACTTATTGGCACTGAAGCTGCCTCTTGTGTTGGTGAGAAAGCATTTTGACCTAACTCAAAAGTCAGCATCTGATGGAATTCCCAGAAACAATACATGTTTAGTCCTCCATGTTCTGATTTCAACCACTGTTCTCTCATGTCCACTTACACAGGAAAAGCAGGTTCCCTTCTAAAATTGGAAATCCTTTGGAGAGACTTTCTGTAGTAGCATTATTTTTGTTTGTTTGTTTTCTCATGTATCTAAGGCTGGCTTTGAACTTGTTATATAACAAAGGAAGAATCTGGACTTCTGGTCCTCCTGCCTCAGCCTCTTGAGTGCTGGGATTAAAAGTATGTACCAACACACCTGATAAGGTTAGAAAATAATTTCACCAAGTGGATTGTTTTACCTATCAATTCTTTTATTATTATTATTATTATTATTATTATTATTATGTATACAGAAGAGGGCGCCAGATCTCATTACAGATGATTGTGAGCCACCATGTGGGTGTTGGGAATTGAACTCAAGACCTCTGGAAGAGCAGATGGTGCTCTTAACCTCTAAGCCATCTCTCCAGCCCCTGTACCTATCAATTCTTTTCTTTTTCTTGTACCTATCATTTCTTGAAGAGTTTACTAAAAGATTGTTTGTTAGAACCTAATTTGTATTTTTTTCAATATAGAAAAACAAGACTTTGGTAGTAAAAATCTCCCAAAGTGGTTGTTGTTATGACCATATTTTCTTTCACAACTAGGGTATAACTATATGAACTTAACAAATCAGTCTATTTCTGCATACAGTTAAGTCCTAATAGGCATCCCTCCTTATTCAGAGCATATAATGACATCCACTAGAGAGCTTTCCACTGATCGAATAGAGTTGCACAGTGTGAAGCACCTTCTTATGGTGGCACTTATTTGTGAAAGACCCAGTGGGCCTCATTTGTCTTCTGCACTTATTCAACTATTGAATTTGATTTAGCATGCAACAGTAACAGAGCAGCAAAACTTATCTTGAGGCAGTATCTCTGTATTCAAATTAAGCATATGCCTTTAAAAATTATTTTTAGCAGTATAGGGATGGAAGTTAGGACCTTGTGTACACCTATATGTACTCTAACCCTGAGCTATATCCCCAGATCCTCCACCTTTTGTTTTTAAAACATTTTTGAAACAGGCTGTCACTAAGTTGCCTGGGCTAGTCTTGAATTTGAGATTCTTTTGGCTCAGCTTCCTGAGTAGCTGGGAATACATTTAGAATTCTATTTCTTGAAGTAAATAAGAAAAATGCATTTAAAGTTTTTGCCTGCCTCATAATTAGTATCCTCCCAGTTTTTAGAACTAGATTCATTTGTTCCTAGGTATCTTTGGTATCTGCCTCATAATTAGTATCCTCCCAGTTTCTAGAACTAGATTAATTTGTTCCTAGGTATCTTTGGAGATTGGTTCCAAGATGCCAAAGTCTAAAGGTGCTCAAGTCTCTTTTATAAATGGACAATGTTTACATAAATCACCTCTAGATTACTTACAATACATAAAGTAATATACATATGCATTGTCATATGATTTAAATTTTTTCTGAATATTTTTGATTCAGGGTTGGTTGAGTCCATGCTTATGGACCTCATAACTACTCAAGCAAAGAAAAGCTATCTTGGCATTAGAGACATGGCTGAGGCTGGCCGTTGTGCTGTGTGTTTCAGGGCTGCCTGAACATTGTCCCCAGTGAAGACGGGGAGCCAACACAACGCTGACTGTTCACTGTGCAGACCACAGAGTGAGACCTTGATGTTAAGAAGGAACCTGTCACATACTCAGTGTCTTGTCCTTTCCATGAATTGTAATAAACAGTCTATGACACTGTTTGTAATGTGCTTTCATATATTTTTTACATTAATATCTGCATTGTCGTTTTACTGAAGCTGTATTAAAGAAGAAGCCTGAGAACACCACTGTGTGCCCTGAAGCTCCCAAGTGTGAATGTCTTGTGCATGTGAGCAGTTTTCATTAAGTCTTGTCCCTATATATCTGTCCCGCACTGTCCAGTTTTCCCTGAATTTTGCTAAGGTTCTTCCTGAACTGTAGTGCTGCTTTTTAAATTGTTAATTCAAAACTCTCTCCCAGAATCATAGGTCCTTCCTTTGTTTTAAATCTCCCCTGCCTGCATACAACCAGTCCCTTGGAACCCCCACCCATCTCTGCCCCAGTTGCCAGCAAGCAAGGAAAACTCCTGCAGGCAGGCTCCCCCACCAAAATCCCTCATCAGACCCTGCAATCTACAAGACCCATGCCCTACTCCAAACCTACCCACCCCCCTGTGACTCGAGTGGCTTCCTGAGACACAGAATCTGCCAGCTCTCATTGGACCAAGAGGTAAGTGACTCTTCTCCCACCCAGAGAGTCCTGCCTCTAGAACCTAGGCCCTGGGACACAACCAATCCCTTGGAACCCCCACCCATTTCTGCCCCAGTTGCTAGCCAGCAGGGAAGACTCCTGCAGGCAGGCTCCCCCACCAAAACCCCCCATCGGACCCTGCAATCTACAAGACCCATGCCCTACTCCAAACCTACCCATCCTTCTGTGACCCCAGTGTCTTCCTGAGACACAGAATCTGCCATCTCTCATTGGATCAAAGAGGCTTCCTGAAACATAGAATCCACCAGTTCTGATTGAACCAAGAGCCCTGATAAGACCAAGAGCAGCTCCCTGAGACACAGAATCCATCAGCTCCAATTAGACTAAGAGCTAAGATTGGACCCAGAGTGGCCCCCTGAGACACAGACACAGCAAACACAGAGTGGACTAAGAGCAGCTCACTCAGACACAGGCACCTCTTGCACCTATTGGAGGAAGAGATGGGTAGACACCAGTGCAAAAATACAACAACATAAAGAGCAATATGGCATCACCAGAACCTAGTGGTTCTATAACAGCAAGAACTGAACATCAAAATATAGAAGCAGCAGAAGAAAGTGACCTTAAAAATAACTTTATGAAGATGATGGAGGCCTTTAAAGAGGAAATTTAAAATTCCCTTAAAGAAATTAAGGAAAAGACAAACAAAAAATTGGAAGAAATCAATAAGAAAGCCAAGAAAACCATGAAAAATCAATTAAACATGTGAAGGAAACAGTTCAAGACCAGAAAATTGAAATAGACACAAACTGAGGGAATGCTGGAAATAGAAAATCTGAGTAAATAAACAGGAACTACAGATGCAAGCATAACCAACAGAATACAAGAGATAGAAGAGAGAATCTCTGGCATAGAGGATACAATAGAGGAAATAGATTGATCAGTCAAAGAAAACACCAGAGCCAAAAAAGTCATAACACAAAATGTCCAGGAAATCTGGGACATCATGAAAAGGCCAAACCTAAGAATAATAGGGACAGAAGAAGGAGAATAATACTAACTCAAAGGCACAGAAAATATATTCAACAAAATCATGGAAGAAAACTTTCCCAACTTAAAGAAGGAAATACCTATGAAGATACAAGAAGTTTATAGAACACCTAATAGACTAGATCCCCCCAAAAAAAGTCCCCTTGCCACATAATAATTAAACCACTAAACATACAGAATAAAGAAAGAATATTAAGAGCAGCAAAGGAAAAAGTCCAAGTTACTTAAAATGGCAGACCCATCAGAGAAACACCCGACTTCTCAATGGAAACTCTGAAAGCCAGAAGGTCCTGGACAGATGTCATACAGACACTAAGAGACCACGGATGCCAGCCTAGACTAATATACCCAGCAAAACTTTCAATCACCATAGACAGAGTGAACAAGACATTCCAAGACAAAACCAGATTTAAACAATAACTATCCACAAATCCAGCCCTACAGAAAGCACTAGAAGGAAAATTCCACCCTAAGGAAGTCAGATGTACCCATGAAAACACAGGCAATAGATAACCCCACAGCAGTAAATCCCAAAGAAGGAAAATACACACACACTACCACCAAAAGATAACAGGAATTAACATTCACTGGTCATTAATATCCCTTAATATCAGTGGACTTAAAATCACCTATAAAAAGACACTGAGCTGGGCAGTGGTGACACACGCCTTTAATCCCAGCACTTGGGAGGCAGAGCCAGGTGAATCTCTGTGAGTTCAAGGCCAGCCTGGTCTACAGAGCTAGTTCAAGACAGTCTCCAAAGCTACAGAAAAACCCTGTCTCAAAAAAAAAAAGACACTAAAAGACATTTAAAGAATTGCTCAGCATCCTTAATTATCAGGGAGATGCAAATTAAACAACTCTGAGATACCATCTTACACCTGTCAGAATGGCTGAGATCAAAAGCACCACAGAGGGGTGGGTGGCTTGGGAAAGAGGGCTAGGGGATGGGAGGAGGTCGGAGGAGGGGTCTATGGATAGCATGTGGAGTGAGTAGAAAATTTCTTAATAAAGAAAAATGAAAAAAGCACCACAGGCAGCTTATGTTTGAGAGGATGTGCAGCAAGGGGAATACTCCTTCACTGTTGGTGGAAGTGCACATTGGAACAGCCACTTTGGAAATCAGTATGGCGGTTTCTCAGAAAATTGGGAATCAATCTACCTCAAGACCCAGCTGTACCACTCTTGGGCATATACCCAAGGAATACTCAATCATACCACAAGGACACATGCTCAACTATGTTCATAGCAGCATTATTCATAATAGCCAGAACCTGGAAACAACCTAGATGCTCCTCAACTGAAGAATGGATTAAGAAAATGTGGTGCATATATACAATGGAGTACTACTCAGCAGAGAAAAACAATCATGAAATTTGCAGGCACATGGGTGGAACTAGAAAATATCATCCTGAGTGAGGTAACCCAGACTCATAAGGACAAACATGGTATGTACTGACTCATAAGTGGATACTAGATATAAAGCAAAGGGTAATCAGGCAACAACCTACAACTTCAGAGAAGCTAACTAACAGGGAAGACCCAAAGAGGGACACATGGACTGCCCTGGGAAGGGGAAATAGATGTGGTCTCCATGACTAAACTGAGGATGAGGGGTGGGCAATGGTGGGTAGGGAATAGAGGATGAGAACATAAGGGAATGGGATGGTTGATCTGGAACAGCGAGGGAGGGGGAATGCAATGAAAGAGATACCATGATAGAGAGAGACATCATGGAGATAGAGAAAAAACCGGTGCTAGGGAAGTTGCCAGGAATTCCCAAGGATGACCTCAGCCTGGAATACTAGCAATAGTGGAGAGGGTGCCTGAACTGAACTGGCTTGCCCCAGAGATCAGACCAGTGAATACCCTGTCATCACAGAACTTTTCTCCAATGATTGATGGAAGCAGATGCAGAGATCCACAGTCAGTCACTAGACAGAACTCCAGGAGTTCAGTCAAAGAGAGAGAAGAGGAATTCTATGAGCAAGTGCATCAGGATCATGATGGGAAACATGCAGAGATGACTAAACCAAACTAGAGGGGACTCATGAAAATTGGATCAATGGCTGTGGAGCCTACATGGGACTGGACTAGGCCCTTTGCATGGTGAGACAGTTGTGTAGCTTTATCTGCTTGGGAGGCCCCCTGGCAGTAGGATCATAATCCATCTCTGGTGCATGAGCGGTTTTGTGGAGCCCACTACCTATGATGGGACAACTTGTGCAGGCTTGGACTTGCCTCTACTGAATGTGCCTCCACATGGGAGGCCTTGCCTTCTTGTGGGAGGGAGTGGGGGATGGGTTGGGATGGGAGGCTGTGGGGGAAGGAGGAAGGAAGAGGAGGATCATTGATTGGTGTGTATAATGAATGAAAAAATCTTAATTAAAAAAAAAGAAAAAAGACACAGGCTAACAGAATGGATATGAAATCAGTATCCATCCTTGTGCTGCATACAAGAAACACCTCAACTTCAAAGACAGACACTACCTCAGAGTAAAAGGCTGGAAAAAGACTTTCCAATCAAATGGACTTAAGAAGCAAGGTGGTGTAGCTATCCTAATAGCTAACAAAATAGACTTTAAATTAAAATCAATCAAAAGAGATTGGGAAGGATATTACATACTCATCACAGGAAAATCTACCAAGATGAAGTCTCAATTCTGAACATTTATGCCCCAAATACAAGGGCACCTACATATGTAAAAAAAAAAATTACTAAAATCACATATCAAACCCCACACATTAATAGTGGGAGACTTCAATACCCAACTCTCACCCATGGACAGATCTGCCAGACTGAAACTTAACAGAGAAATAAGGGACCTAATATGTTATGACTCAAATGGACTTAATAGATATCTATAGAACATTCCACCCTAACAAAAAAGAATATACCTTCTTCTCAGCATCCCATGGAACCTTCTCTAAAATCGACCACATACTCGGTCACAAAGCAAATCTCAACAGATACAAAAAATTGGAATAACCTGTATTTTATCAGACCACCATGGCTTAAAGTTAGATTTCAACAATGACAAAAATTACAGAAAGCCTACAATCACATGGAAACTGAATAATGCTCAACTGAATCACCAATGGGTCAAGGAAGAAATAAAGAAATTAAAAATTTCCTAGAATTCAATAAAAATGAAAGTACAACATACCAAACTTATAGGACACTATGAAAGCAGTGCTAAGAGGAAAATTCATATACACACATAAAGAAGTTGGAGAAATCTCACACTAGCGACTTAACAGCACACCTAAAAGCTCTAGAACAAAAAGAAGCAAACTTACTCAGGAGGAATAGATGCCAGGAAATAATCAAATTGAGAGCTGAAATCAACAAAATAGAAACAGAACAATACAAAGAATCAGTGAAACAAAGAGTTGGTTCTTTGAGAAAATTAACAACATAGACAAGTCCTTATTCAAACTAACCAAAAGGAAGAGAGAG